GTTTGTATAATATATTAAAACCCCCTCCTACCATACTTCAGGTTATTTGATTTTCACCAATTTATGCTTTCTTCAACTTTTGTTTTTTTTAATAGATTGGTATATATACCTGATATTGATGTTTAACTCATTTTATTATAATACTAGATAATATCTAGAAAGCTCAAAAATTATGAAAAAGGTCTTTAAAGAAAATAAACAAAACTATTTAAGACCATAAACCAATGTGGCTCGAAAACAAAACATACATTGATATATTCTTCCAATATGTTACATTAATTTTGACTATAAATTTGACATCTATCTAACATTTTGGCTGGTTTAGCAAAAAGAAAAATCATTTTGTTGATAAGCTAAAAAAATGATTTTAAAATATGAGTTATTTATTTTCGTATATAAACATGTTTGTGTACTATATCCCAAGTTTTTATCTTATACCTCTATTTTTTTTCTTAAAAAAATGATAATACCCTAGCATAGTGTGTAAATATAAATTTTCGATTGATATAGGTCAAAGTTGCTAATCAAACAGAAACAATACATTTAGAAGTTAAACTTTGTCCACTTACCAAAAGTGTGATGGCCTAGTGGTAACACAAGGGGATTAGTTCCGTTGTGCTCCAGGTCCAAACCCCCTTTGGTACGGAAGATTATTCTTTAAATCGGAATATCGAAAGAGTGCTTGCGGATATCGAAGAGATTATGAGCCAAATGTTCAGAACTCCAACGGTTATAAAAAAAAACATTTGTCCACTTTCGACACCGTACAGTCAATAATCCTTTAAAAAATAGTTGGTCAGTTCAAAAAGTACCTAAATTTAGTTTCTATTTATATAAAAGTATCAAATACTACAATTTATCTTTTATTTTCCAAAAATGCAGTCAAAATCCACAAAATTCTAAAAATCCCATGCACAAACTTCATGTTTAGTGTTTTTTTCTTTAAATCAAGTACTAAATGATCTAAGAACTTTTAAAAAATCTATTAACCTAAAGCTTGTGGTATTATTTATTTTTTTATTTAAAGTTGTGGTTTTAAAACATATTTTTTTCTGGTATTTAGGATATATATATTAAATAGTGGCTGTGCGCCAACATAAATATATTGACAAGTCGCACCGATATTTTAATTCACACAAACACATAACTTCATTCGAATTTACCTTTTATGTAGCTTTTCATTTAACAACAGTATTCATATTTTGGATCAAATCCTTACTTTACTCTCTTTGTTAACTTTAAGGAAGATGCTGAATGTTCTAATTCTGCAATTTGTTTATAGCATATGCTGTTTTTTTTGTTTTCACATAAAAATGAATTTTAAATAAGAAAAATTTTCAAAAAAATCTGAAATACTATGTATGAAAGAAAAAAATCTAGAAAATTATAAACAAATTTATATCTATTTTTTAACACTAATTTTCCTTGTAGCAAACTACTCATGTATATATATATAGCAGTCTCCTACTCGAGATGAATTTCAATTTTCATACTTATTAGGAGTTTCCACGGGAAAAATAAAATATATGATATAAGCCTAGATTGTACAATATGGGCCTTTTAATTATGAAATATAGGCCTATACTATTACCTCATCTTTTAGCTGTTCGTAATTGGGCTTAAAACATTTACGTTATCAGAAAATCGGCCCAATGGATTTTGAAGAGTCAAAATTAAATAAATAAAAACACACATGCATAGTGTAATAACTTGAATTAAAGTTTCCAGAAACTGTGTGTGACACTACTTTTACAAAAGCAAGAAGTAGCCAAAGGAGAAAAGGAGAAAAGGTGAAAGTGAAAACCGATGCCTTTAATATCTGTAATGAAGAAAAAGAAAAAGCTAATTCGAATATTATCAAATAAAGTAAGACAAATTCCTCAGTCACCATTGCAGAGACTCGACTTTTTATAGCAAAAGCTAACACAAATTTGGAGTCTTTTGCATCATCTTCACACTATTTTCCTTCTTTTCTCGTGACCCTCAAAACGCATTTGTTTATTTTTGTTTTGATTTATGGTATTTTAAGAGCATTGTTGTGTGTGTGATCTTCAAATGGGTCTATGCTCAGTTCAACTCGCTGTTACATGCTTGTTCATAATAGTTGTAGTACCTCATGTTCAGTCCCAAGTTACAGGTACATGCTGCCTATTATCTGTTTGTTTAAATGCTCCAAAGAGATTTTTTTTTGTTTTCCTCCAAAAGTCTTCTTCTTGATGTGTTCAAGAACTTGTTTTTGTTGTGCAAATTACAAAGCTTTTATCTTTAGGTTTCAGGGTTGCCTCAAATTCTCCAATTCTAGACCTTTTTTAGTTAAAAATGTTCATGTGAAAGAGTATTGAGATTCTCTTGTCGAGCGTTTTGCTGCAACTAGTGGGAAATGAATGTAATTTCGATAAATTGGCTGTATGTGCAGAGTTTTTAAGTATAGATTGTGGTGGCTCAAGTAACTACACGGACCCGAGAACTGGACTAGGATGGGTTTCAGATTCAGATATCATCAAACTCGGCAAATCAGTAACTTTGGCCAGTACCAATTGGAACTCGATGCAATACCGTAGAAGAAGAGATTTTCCAACTGATAACAAGAAGTATTGTTACAGACTTAGCACCCAAGAGAGGAGGAGATACATTGTCAGAACAACATTTCTCTACGGTAGCTCGAGTAATGAAGAAGCGTACCCAAAGTTTCAACTCTACTTAGATGCAACAAAATGGGCTACTGTGACTGTTCAGGAAGTCTCTAGGGTTTATGTTGAGGAATTAATTGTTAGGGCAACTTCAAGTTATGTAGATGTGTGTGTATGCTGTGCTATCACCGGCTCTCCTTTCATGTCCACTCTCGAGCTACGCCCGTTGAACCTTTCGATGTATGCCACTGATTACGAGGATAATTTCTTCTTGAAGGTCGCTGCCAGAGTGAATTTTGGTGCTCCAAGCATGGATGCCTTGAGGTAATAGCCTACCACAATTTTTCTTTCCATTATATATTTCGCAAGAATATATTACAAACATTGAAAAATGCTGAAAGATTTTCTCTCTTAGGTACCCGGATGATCCATATGACAGAATCTGGGAGTCAGATGTTAATAGACGGCCAAATTATCTTGTTGGTGTGGCTCCTGGAACGACAAGAATCAGTACATCAAAGAATATAAATACGATGACTAGAGAGTATCCGCCTATGAAAGTCATGCAAACAGCAGTAGTTGGCACCCAAGGACTGATCAGCTATAGATTAAACCTGGAAGACTTCCCTGCCAATGCTCGTGCGTATGCTTACTTTGCTGAAATTGAAGACCTTGGTGCTAACGAAACCCGGAAATTTAAGTTGGTGCAACCATACTTTCCTGATTATAGTAATGCAGTGGTGAATATTGCTGAGAATGCCAATGGGAGCTATACTCTCTATGAACCTAGCTACATGAATGTGACTTTGGGTTTTGTTTTGACGTTCTCATTTGGGAAGACAAAGGATTCTACACGAGGCCCACTTCTAAATGCAATTGAAATTAGCAAGTATCTACAAATTTCCTTGAAAACGGATAGGAGTGACGGTGAGTAGTCAAATATTTTCTATAACTGTTTCCCCCATCCATGATGCTGCTGAGAATATGCAAATCAAAATTTGTTGAAAAGGAGTTTAATGAAGTTATCTAATTCTGCAGTGTCTGTTCTTGATGCAATTCGTTTGATGTCCCCTGATAGCGATTGGGCCAATGAAGGAGGAGACCCTTGTATCCCAGTTCTTTGGTCGTGGGTAAACTGTAGCTCAACCTCGCCACCACGAGTCACGAAAATGTAAGATCTATAAAACAATGTTTTAATTACATAAGGTAATTAGAGTTTGTGAAATGGTATTCTTAAGATGATTGCCATTGACCTGGTTGTGTGCATATTACAACAGTGTTCTATCAAGAAAAAATCTGAGAGGTGAGATTGTGGCTGAGATTAATTCTATGGAGGCATTGACAGAGTTGTGAGTGGTTCGATGCTGCATTACAGATATATACTTGGATTAGTCTCTCTTTGTCTCCCTGTCATTCTTTACTCGAGTATACTTGCTCTTTTATAGGTGGCTGGATGGTAATGGTTTGACTGGAATCCTTCCAGACTTGAGCAAACTTGTCAACCTGAAAATCATGTAAGATTGTCAATCTTGCCAATATTTCTCTTATAGTTGAAACACTCAAATACCATAAAGGTTTACTTAACCTCATCTCCTCTGCAGGCATCTAGAAAACAACCAACTTAGTGGCTCACTCCCACCATACCTTGTCCATCTGCCTAACCTGCGAGAACTGTATGTAATCAGAAACCTTGTGATGCGTTTTGGTTTCTTTAACGATTGACTTATATACTAATACCTCGTCTGCAATTATCTACTTTATATATGGCAGTTTTAACAAATGTGATTATCTGGCAGGTTTATAGAAGATAACTCCTTCAGAGGAACGATTCCTTCAGCGCTGTTAAAAGGGAACATTTTGTTCAAGTGAGTATGCTACAAGTTGATTTTCAGCATTTGCACGGAAAGATAACTTTACCCTTTTATCCAGATTGGAACATTTTATTGTATACATGCGGGAAATGAAATAACCATACCAAAGTTTTAAAATTCTAATTTGTTGATGGAGTTTCCTCTTGAAGTGCTAATACGCAGCTATAACATGTTTTCCTCCAGATATAATAATAATCCTGAGCTTCAGAATGAGGCACAGCGAAAGCATTTTAGGCTGATACTGGGGATATCAATAGCCGCTGTCGCAATTTTATTGCTGCTAGTTGGAGGAAGTCTTGTTTTACTTTGTGCCCTTCAAAAGACGAAAAGAGCTGATAAAGGTATATAGACATTGGGTTTTGATCAAGTACCTGTTTTTCCCAGTGTAGGACTGTCTTATTCATGTTTCTTCAGGTGATTCCAAAGGGACTAAGAAAAAAGGTTTGGTAGCTTATTCAGCTGTGCGGGGCGGACACTTAGATGAAGGTGTAGCATATTTCATATCGCTTCCTGTTCTCGAAGAGGCTACCGATAATTTTTCCAAGAGAGTTGGAAAAGGAAGTTTTGGGTCTGTCTACTATGGTAGGATGAAAGATGGGAAAGAAGTTGCAGTTAAGATAACTGCAGATACTTCCAGCCACTTGAACAGACAATTTGTGACTGAGGTATTAACTGATTCAAAGCTGTTAACTTACTGCTAATGCTGATTTTGGCTTTTTGGTGCCCAAAGTTTCTTAATAAAACAAGTTAATTGGAACAAACGTGCAGGTTGCTCTGTTATCGAGAATTCACCACAGGAACTTGGTTCCTTTGATTGGATATTGTGAAGAAGCAGATCGACATATATTGGTCTACGAATATATGCACAATGGAAGCTTGGGAGATCACTTACACGGTTTTTACCAATTTCCCAGATATTCTCCTGCCTAAGTTTGGCTTTTCGTTCTGCGAATGACTCGTGAGATAATTCCTGACAGGTTCAAACGATTACAAGCCATTAGACTGGCCAATTCGGCTACAAATTGCAGAGGACGCTGCCAAAGGTTTGAAGCAAAGTTTCAAAGATTATATTATTTTCTGTGGCTATAATATGAATCCATTGGACAGACGAAACTTCAGATTATTACAGGTCTTGAATACTTGCATACTGGCTGCAATCCTAGTATCATTCATAGGGATGTGAAATCAAGCAATATTCTCCTGGACATTAACATGAGAGCCAAAGTGTCTGACTTTGGACTCTCGAGGCAGACCGAGGAAGACTTGACTCACGTATCCAGTGTCGCAAAAGGGACAGTTGGATACCTTGATCCAGAGTAAGGCCAACAATCCAACTTATAAAAAAAATGAAGCCTTCCCTTTTTACAGAACTTCGAGTGATACGACTTTGTTTTGACAGGTATTATGCTAGTCAGCAGCTGACCGAGAAGAGCGATGTCTACAGTTTTGGCGTTGTTCTCTTTGAATTACTCTCCGGAAAGAAACCAGTCTCAGCGGAAGATTTCGGTCCTGAACTGAATATAGTTCACTGGGTAAACACCTCTTCATCTTCTGTCCATTCAAAAAGTCTTCACCTTTTTCACAGTTTAAAGCACTACATCAACAATATCAAGATTCACAAACAACACATCCCCTCTTTGCTTTTCTTGTCCATCAACAGGCAAGAGCACTGATCCGTAAAGGAGACGTATGTGGGATCATAGATCCATGTATAATAGGCAACGTGAAGATCGAATCAATCTGGAGAGTTGCAGAGGTTGCAAACCAATGCGTTGAGCAGCGTGGGTATTGCAGGCCAAGGATGCAGGAAGTGATAGTGGCAATACAAGACGCAGTTAGGATCGAGAGAGGAAACGAGGACGGGCTGAAGTCATCGACTTCAAGCGGTTCAAAGGCGCAATCATCATCTCGTAAGACCTTGCTCACTAGCTTCCTCGAGATAGAGAGCCCTGACATCTCAAGAAACAGCCTAGCTCCAGCTGCTAGGTGAGTCCCCTGGAAGCTTACCATCGTAAC